GTTGTTCTCATCCCGACTGGAGTGGACTGAAGTTTCGACCTCGTATCGGTCTTATCAACACCCTCAGCGGGAGTCGAACCCCGACAGTGCAGGATGGGAGCTTGACACGTCAACCACCCGGCCACATTGTCACGAATGCCCTTGGGTCATAGGGCAGATGTGAACTTTCAAGGACAGCCAGGCCTTTTTTTGCCATATCATATTCTTTTTGTGAAATTGTCGATGAAGCAAACGTATATCTGCTATAACAATCGACTACTATACTTTATTTTTCGAATCAAGTATTGTTTTCGTGACTACCTTAAACGAAATTGGGTGAATACATTTCATATTACTGATTTACTGGTAGTCACAAAAACAATACTTAATTCGAAAAATGGATTGAAGTCGACTGGCCTAGCTTGTGAAATATTCATGTCTGAATATGTATCTTTATTTTTCATGTCCAGCTATGGTTACTGGTGCACCCAAGACTATGTAGAAAAAAAGTTGTGTTTCCAGGAATCTCTTTTTTTATAATTGTTGAGCTTACTTCCATTTCGAGTAAAAGTGTTTGGTGAAGAGATTCGAAGGTCAATCCCAATAGAAGACGGCGGCGGATTCCTCTTTACCAGCCGTCGGTTGACTTTACTGAGGCATTTATGTTGACGCTGTTTTCGAGGTAAGATTCTTCAATTCGGGTGAAAATGTGCTAAGCTTTCGTCTGTCGTATGTTGAACATCATCAGGTATCAACCATACAACCAAATTCCAGCAAACTAGTTAAGAATGCACATAAAAACATACTGAAAGACACATTGACATTCTTCGAAGTTGATATATTACTTGGACTAACTAAACCAATTTATATCTCACCAAAGAGCTTAGAATTGGGGTATATTTACAACATTTAGGGATAAGACGGTGAGCTTTCTTGACTCGTTGGCTTGCTCTGATAATGTTCATTATACGACGGACGAAAGCTTAGCACATTTCCACCCGAATCGAAAAAGCTTACCTCGGAGACAGCGTCGCCATGAATGTTCCATTAAAGCCAATCTACAGCTGGTCAAGAGGAATCCGCCGCCGTCTTCTGCTGGGACCTTCGATCTTCGAATCTTCTCACCAAACACTTTCACTCGAAATGGAAGTATGCTCAACGATTAGGTAGAAGTTGTCACCAAATCTGAATGAGAATGACATTTTAAGGCGCATTATTTCGAAATCCAGGCTTCTCTTCTTGGTTTCATGGATAGAATAGTTATTATTTTCTGTTATTCAATGCGAAATTACCTCATAGCTTTAAGTAAAAGAGAGTCTTGAGACCTGCGACCGATTAAATCTCTTCTAGTTCTCCTCATCTCCCAGCTCACCGGATGCTAAAACCCTCAGCTATTCAGAATGAGGCACAAACTTGACGATAGCATTCTCGCTAAAATACAAGGATTTCTAGGACAGTCTTTCTATAAAACTGCTGGCCAACCAACATTGGAGAAGATGTTGGGATTTGCTAAGTTACCTCATAAATCAACGTTTAAATTGACTTTCTTTCGTGTGAATGCGAGACTGGCCTACAAATAATTCTATCAAAAAAGTTCACACGAAATGAACTTTAGCCTTACGATCATAATCTCCGTGACGATTCTGAATAAATTCACTTCTTTTTCAATCACAACTGTTAACTTCAAATTGTAAAGGTTTTGCATTAGCATAAATATAATTTGACCTTAAAAAAAAAAGATATCTTGATGTCGCTATTATGTACAGTCCCAGTAAATGTTGAAAGTGAACTTGACTCAAATCCCAAACGCCAATCCAAAAGGGTAATCTACCCAATGTGTTTAAAATCATCATCAGCTTCATTACAACCATCACTACTGCCACAAATTTTATCATCATTATCCTCATCACCACTACTATTAGTATCATAATCACCACCACCGACACCACCACCACCATCACCATCATTATCGTCATCATCTTCTTCATCATCATCATCATCGTAACTCGTACCAAGTGCCGTTTGAGACTCGTTCACTTTTTGCCTCTTACATGATAGTACTACGATGATGTAATAGTTAATGACACTTTATCCACCCGCTTACATGCGTTTGCATGCAGCCTGTCCCGAACGACATACGCAAAGATAAATAATAATGCATTCATAATTAAGCACAAATTTGCACTAATTGGTCTTGCTCTGGAGAGTTCTTGGCGTTCTAAGCCAATGTTTCATGATATGTCTTTGCTAGTTCTTTTAAGATTTCACCATAAGTTCTGATTTGGTGAAATAAGTGCTGATGAGAACTTGAATTCATAGTCCACCAGCTTGCTATGAAAATGACCTTCCTGCTCCTCTGGCAGGCCTGTTTTCTTTATTGCATGCTTAATATATTCTGGAACATTCCCAGAAAATGGGCAGTACCATTAACCCGAGCAATTACGATGCTGAGACACATAAATTCCTAGACTCAATTTCCATTCCTCTCGAAACTTTTATGTTCTATGTGGACTATAGTGCAGTCCCTGGATGAACTATGACTCTAGGTTAGCTCCCGAAATGACTTCCAGCTAAGTTTGCTACCAAGACTGGAGTTCATAGGCATAGTTCACCGGCTGAAGATTATTTGTATGCTGTTGAACAAGATGTGCCCTTTTCCTGTCTTCTTCATCTTAGCAGTCTATGCCTCGTTGCCATGACAACTAGCTTTATGAGTATTCCACTAGCCATGACGCCCAGTTTGTAATGAGGGCACCCTCGATCCCGGTCGGTGTGTGTCGGTGCAAGCGAGCATGTACATTTTTGTTGCATATGCAGTGAACAACTGGTTTTCGATGAATCTTCTGCTTTAGCATTTTTGAGCTGACAGTCATCTCATGAGAAAGTGTGCAATGAATAGATTTATAGGTCGATCTCACTCAATGACGAAGGCATCTATACCGACAAGTGTGTGCACACGCATGGGCAGATATGCAACTGAATTAGCCAAGTCATTGTTGACTTCTTTAAATTGCTTTTTGAATATTTATGCTACAGTTTGTAGTGAATTGTTGGTGTATTTTGACGCATTTTATGCTTCAATTTGTTGTAAGCTTATGTGCAAGACGAAATGCTGTTCATTAGGTGGCATGACAGACGCGGAGGGAATACACTTTTGGGACTTCCTCAGGACAAACAGAAAAGCTGTAGACCGATTGGCTTCATAACTCGTTGTGACACAAAATAAAAACGTGTTTGGCTGAAAGGGCGCCTAATATTTGAGCCTTCATTCAATGAGCTTTCGTTGTTAACATGTATTCATTTATTTCTGTTCTCAACCCCATGTCCAAATAAATGCCTCTCGTATTTTGCGCCAATCTCGTCACATTGCAAATCCTCCCTATCCCCGTATCCACCAGCTTCAATGGATTCTTCACTCTCAAAACTAACTAAACCACTGCCAACTCCATTCATGACGCCACTACCGACATTCTGTCTTTTGCATCAACTCAATCATCCTCCATCCTTCATCCTCCATCCTCCATCCTCCATCCTCCATCCTCTCATTTCTCCCTTCACGTGAGTCTTCACAGGCCTTTGGCCGGCTGCTCTGGTACCATGCACCAAGGCTGTCTCTCCGACGCCCTCAGGACGGACGCTCTACTTCAGGCGATTTGGCGACCATTGGAGCCCGGCGACCGGTTGAATGTTGGCACCCTGTCGCGATGCGAAGCCATGCGCAAACAGGACAGCATAAACACGCTCTCCACGCCCAACGGCATCAGCCGAGGGGACAGTGTACCGAGTGGTGCTGATGGCGGTGCTGGTGGTGATGGTGCTGGGGAGGTTGGTGGTGATGTTGTTAGCGATGGTAACATGGGAGTTGTACAACGACCCAGACACTCGGCCAATCAGATGTTGCATCAAGAGCTGGCTGCATCTGAGATAGTTGCCAAGGCGTTGCGAGCCAATCTTTACGAGATCATACGTGTCCTTGTCCATCGTCACGCCACCATTGGTGACGTCAAGGACTTCTTTCGTTTCATCACAACCTGCCGCATCTCGGAATTGGTGAGCGATTTCACACACTGTTTAGCGAAAATAACAGATTTGTTATTAAGACCCCAGACCTTTGACTTACGAGATACCTCAGACCATTGCAGATATTATGAGTTCAATTCACCTTAGGTCGCATTAATTAATGAAGGACACAGTTGAAGCTCTCGCACAATCATACAAATAGACTTCACGTTTCCATTGGATTTCCCTAAAACTTGCGTCGCACAAATTATTCCTATCTAGGCTGGACTGCAGTTTTCGCCTAGTTTTGAAATTTACTTAATATGAATATAAGTAATATAGTCGAGTGCAATAGCAAAGCACACGTTTATGAGATGGGTTAGTTGAATTTTACTACAATCATATGAGTAGACCTTACGTTAGCATAACATTCCGCACAGTATTGCTTTCTCGAAGGGTGCTATCTTCCAGGCGGGAGTGGACTCGAGACATAACAGCGCATCATTTCATCTCGCCACGTTAGCCACTACGTCACATTGCCACGAGTGCCCCTGGGAAAAAAGGCAGATGTGAATTTCAAGTCAGGCCAGGTATTTTTCCATATCACATTGTGTGGTGGGATTATCGATGAAGTAAAGCTATATTTGCTACAGAAACCGACCGCATTACTTATTTTTCGTCATCACCCCAAATATATATTCTCAAGGTGGCCTCGAAAGCCAACTTATAAAGAGCAAAATAAGTGGTGTTGTTGATTGCTATCTCGATTACAAGTTTCCTTCAACTTTATCAGTAGAAGTGGGTTGACCTCGATGTCGCAACTTGGTCTTGTTGTCAGGGAGACTATGTAGAACGCACCTAGTCCGAAGTCGTCTGCCATAATAGTTGTCATGACTCCCAGCATCCGACAGTGGACTTGATCCATTCTCAAACGTTTCGCTGGCATCGTAGTTTTGCCATTATACGACTACAATGCCGGCGAAACGTTTGAGAATGTATCAGGTCCACTGTCTGATGCTGGGAATCATGACAACTACTATGGCAGACAACTTCGGACTAGGTTCGTTCAACATAGTCTCCTTGAACACAAGACCAAGTTGCGACAATGAGGTCAACCCACTTCTATAAATCGAAAGGAGACTGCAACCATACCAGAGGCCACAACATCTTGGTCGTCATATCTTTAATTTCTCAGTAGACTTTACATCATAACACGGGTCACCTTAGGCCACTTAAGGTGATGCACGGACTAATTTTTGAATTTTCCACAATCAACTAAATTGGCCTCTTG